CATTGCAAATGGCAAAGGGAGTTACCTGCAAGTAGAGGATGTTGTCTTTGGAAATGGCTTCCATCAAGTCCTTATTGAGGGAGGGTTCGCCGTGTGGGCGGCTCGCCTCAGCCCCAGCCTCGTGCAACGGGCAGCTCTGCCTGCCCGGGCGCTGCCTGTAGAAGAGCACATAGGCAGTGTCCTTGGGGAAAAAAGAGGTCACATTGCTGACCGATTCGAAGGAGGAGAAAGAAACCCTGGTGTCATTGAAGAGGTACCACTGGATTTCAAAGTCCAACTGCTTGTCAGAGGCAGGTTTCTGTGCGCCGTCCTGGGGCTGCCCAAGGGTGCTGGTGTCGCTGCACTCTCTGGAGTAGCAATAATAATGGCCACTCTCGGAGGAGATCCCTGAGTGCACCACCACGCTACAGAGGTCATAAACGACAGACACAAAACTGCTGCCTGGGGCAGCTCTGTCCTTCCTGCGGTGCCAAACATCCTCGCTTTCTTCTGGGGCAACAAGAACAGGCAGCTTCAGCACCAAGGGAATGGAGACATTATCCAAGATCTTCTTCCTCTTCATGGTGCTCGGGTCGAAGGAGAACCGCAGCAGGGTAAGGATGAGGTAGTGCGGCCCCTCCGTCAGCTCAGCCACTTTCTCAGCATCCTGCAAGGAAGCACATTTCTCACAATGATATTTATTTTCTGCTGTCAGTCTCTCCGGAGACAGGAAATAATTGATTAAATCCGGAACAGATCTGGAGTCCTTGGGACTGCATGTCTGCTCCCCAAAAGCCAAGAGAGGGTCTTTGGCTGAATCCATGTTAACAGCATCGCTGCTTAAGGGAGTTGCCTGCTCTCCTGGCTCCTGGAAACCCAGTGTTTCCACCAGCACCAGCTGGGCTGGGTGGTCTCCAGACACATGAGGCTTCTTCTGCTTCCTAGGAGATCCCATTATCTGGCTTGGGTTTCCAGGAGGCTCAATAAACTGTGGACCAATTTCTTCCACTGGTAAAACAGATGTGCTCCCTGTCCTAAGCACATGCCTGTCTGGCGGAGGGAAAGCCAGGGACAGGTCTGTGAAGGCTTCTTCTCGAGAGGAGACATTCAGACACTTCAGGCAGCGGATTTTTGTCATCATTTTACCCCCAAACATCTTCTCAATTAATGTCTTGTTTAAATAATGCTGTTCAATGGCCTGAGACATCAAGCTGGATTCTTTCAGTTTCTGGTAGATCCTTTTTCCGGTTTTTTCTTCTTCATGTAAACTTTGGCAGGAGAAAAAAAAAAAGGTTTCATTATACATCAGTACAACACCAAGAAACAGTTTTAATGTATAGTTTCTATCTGGTGGGGTTTAATTCAGTTTAAGCTGCATAAGCATAGGTGCCTGGTGCCATCTGAAGTGCTGCAGGGCACCTCAGATATCTGCACATCTGCTCACAGCTGGCAGACGTGGCACAGAGCCTGCGGGAGCCTCATTCCTTTCGGGATCAGCAGCTGGAGACCAGGTGGGACACCCCCAGGCACATCAAACAGCTCTGCATGTCTATGCTTAGGAATCTGCATCAGGCCACTAGTTTCTCCTTTCCATCCTTCGCCTTTATACGGTGGCTTTCGACCTCTCGTCACCTTCAGATGGATAGAGAGAGTCCTGCCAGCCGGGGCGTTTGCTGTAGGTGGAAAGCAGGGAGTGAAGAGGGCAGGATTTTGGAATCAGAGATCTTTGTGTGCTATTGATCCCTCTCCTAGGGGGATCACTGGGATGCTGGAGATGTGGGGGTTCTAGGTAAGAGAAAGGCAAAATTAACATCTCAAGAACAAGGCTTCAAAGAGAGCCAACTAGCTTTTCTCTGAACTTGGCACAATCATTCCTTCTGGCCTTCAGAGTAAAGGCAGAAATTTTCAAGATGAACTGATTTCCTGAGCTTATCTACTGGACAGCATAAACAGGGTTTTATGAAGAAGCCTGGGACTAGTCTCACTGCCTTTCAGCCCCAGGCACTCAAGTCTCCATTCTTCGAACTCCTCTGGGTCTCAGCTACTATTCCTGGCTCCACCGTGCTTTCTAAATACCCGTCATTTGGGTGAAATATCATTCATTCCAGCACCCAGGGCTAGTATAATATACTTGATGTGTGAAAAAGAACAAGTGTCAGACAGGGCTCGGAAATGCTCTGAAGCAAGCACCAGTACCAGGCAGCAATATTAGTTGTCAAATACCCTCCACTGTTCTTGCTAGAAAATAAGACTGGAGTGCCACGGGAAGAGAACAGCCACCTGCGCTTGAGTTATCATTAAATATTACGTTCCCGGCCTGACGCATCGCTGTGCTGGGCGGCGCAGAGGCAGGGCAGTGAGATTGTCCCTGCCCCAACACGGTTGCTGTCAGTGCACACGGGGGCTACGAAATCGCGGCGTCTGCCACGTACCGGTCCAGCAGGTACTTCAGATACTCTGAGCAATCCTGCTGAGCACCAGGGGTGAACCAAGGCGGCCAGGAGGCAGAGAGGAAACTTTCAGGTGAGATGGCAGGTCGCTGGCAGGAAAAGACAAGAGGGAGAAAAGCATTTAAGCCAGGGTCCAAGTTCCCGTTTGGCATTGGGGGATGGAGATGGAGGAAGGAGGTCTTTCCGCCTGCTCTGCCAGGAGCAGGGTACACTTGTGTGCCACGGTCCTGATGAGGTCCCTTCTTTTTCCGCACAAGGGCTAATCCCTGAGCCCGGGAAGACTTGCTTGGTTCGCTACAAGCTTTCACTGTCTCATGTAAGGCAACAAGGTCAAAAAACCCATGCCCTACTCCCGACTCCTCATGCCATCTCTAACATAAGAGCCTGGGCCACTCACTTCACCTTCTTCTGTCTGAGGTTTTCCCTTAAACAAAACCAGCACAACAGGACCACGACTGGAAGGGTAAATGTCCCGCTTCTCAGTTCTGCTTAACATCCCTTTGCTCGTTATTATGAGAACAAGAGCTTCTGCTCACCTATTTTTAATGGGCCATTATTTTATATACACTACTATTAAATATCCTCATGTTTATTTCTTCCTTCACTTTTCAAATGGTTTATTTTCCTGGCCCAGAGACTTCTACTTAATTCAGCCTGAATTTAATTTGTTGCTCCATTTAATTTGATCAGGATATCTCTCACCAAATCCTTCTATGGAAAAACAAAACAAAAAATCCACTAAATTTCCACCCATCATTCTAATCACTGCAGGCAGGTAATCTGCATTACCAGATAATGTAATCACTGCCCTTAGGAAGCTGCTGTCTAATTAATATGGAAAAATAAACATCTTCAGCAAAGCAGTGACTTTAAAAACTGCCCAAAGAAGTAAAATAACTGGAAGGCTATTATTAGGAAACTATTAGGAAATTAGGAAAACAGCACGACTGATCCAATCCATAATATTATTTTACACCCTCGGCTGGACAGCTGGTAAGCAAAGGCATGAGGAATTTCGGTCCAGGGGAAGGGACATGGCCAGCACAGGAGGAAGATGGCACAAAGCAGCGACCATACTGTGCTGTGCATCCACAAGAAAGCTTTCCAGCCTTGCGCAGTGCAGCCAGGGGATTTGGGGGGGTGTTTTCAGACTACAAGCTGCATGATAACAAGCAAGTAGTTCTGTGCAAATCCAAATCTTGGTGATGCTTCCACTTGTAACAGCCCATCTTGCTTTTCTTCCCGCCCCTGATCACAATCCTGGACACCAAGCACAGGGGTGTCTTGGGAAAGAAAGCATAAAACACTACTGTATTTGCTCATCTGAAGATCACAGACACCCTACGCTGCTGTTAAAAAGTAGGCTCTTTTATGACTAAATATGATATTTAACAGGTTCTCTTTTTTTTTTTTTTTAATCCAAAGCCCCCTGAAATGAGATATCACCACGATGCAACAAGCCAACACTGTCAGTCAAGACTTAGAAAACAGGGGACTGAGCTAAATGGTTTCACGACAAGGGAAAATTCACTGGTCAATGACTTTCAAAATCCTGTCTCTTTAGGGATAGAAAGATATATTTTCAAGAGAGGGTCTAGATATGACCATACTTCATCTCCAGAAGTCTGCAGCTTGGTCCCAGAGGTCTGAAAGGCAAAACCTTGCTGCTTCCTATAGTGTGTTATGGTCATTGTGCATACTTGCTAAACGCTCATTCATAATTAATTTGATTATGGGTTACAGAATCTTGTAGTTTCCCTCAAATGCAGAAGATTTAAAGCATCTGGACTCTAAAGGGTCCTTTTGTTTTCCTTCTAACAAAACCACTTTTAAGGCAAATTCCATAAATTCCACATAATTTGCCTTTACTTTGCTGTGAAGCAAAGGGACAACTGAGCTGAGCCGATCTTCTTCCTTGCTGCATAGCAAGAAACAGAAACCTTCATACCAACAAGCTTTTCAGTCAGCCACATACGTAAACTATTAACAAATGGGTCTCACTGTCTACTAATGGATTTCACTGTCTAATACTAGTTATTACATCAAACCAAGGAATGTCACAGGCTGAAGGTACGGAGCCTGGTGTGAATGCTGCTCCATTTCATGTGTGATAGGAGTTTGGGACTTACTTGCCTCCCCCACCCCCAAAATCTGCCTTTTCCATATAAACAAAATTTGTCCCTTTATAGAAAATCCACCAAGATCCCCAGCTCCTTATCAGCACGTTGGAGTAGGCAGGAAGTGACTTGGAGACGAGCCTTTCCGCAGCCGACAGTCCAAACAAATAACTAGAACATGAAATAATTACCTGACTGTGCTCCAAAAATGCAAAGAGCCACTGGAGCTTTGTCATCAGCGGCTGGGAGTTGCCCTCCGTTAAGTTCAACACTGAATGCCTGAAACTGGAAAAGAAAATGAGAGATGCAAAACAAGACAGAAAATTAGTCTGGGAAGAGCCATGCTGGTGGCAAACAACCTGAGAGCAGTCTTGAGTGGGAATGAGGGAGCGGAAACTCACTCTGAAGCCATGAAAAGAGACTGTATGATGCTATTCATGTAGCAGGTGTTTCCCAAGTTCATTAACCCAATCTTTCCCGTCTCAGATTTGGAAGCCAGGCGTGGGTAGAAGCAAGCCAGTTCGTTCTTCTGGGAGGTCCAAGCATTCTGTCCCAAGAGATGCTTAATCCGGTCTTCGTTTGGAATTGGAAGAGCCTTGGAAACAGAGATTTGTGTCACAGATCAGCACCTCTTGATGCAAAGAATTAGTAACAGACAACGGCAAAACTTCTCTGCAAGAGGTGTTCATGACAAAACTTATTTCCCTTGCTTTTCACACGCACCCGCATGCATGCGAGGAACTGTTTAGCTGCAAGTATTGGTAGTTTAGAGGCATTCAAACCACAGCTAAAACCCATAGTCATAATCAGGACTTCTGTAGGTCCACTGGAAGTCTCTGCCCAAAATGCAGCCAGCCTGCCTACAAGGGGCTCAAACTGAAGAGTTTTAAACCCTTTCTTCTGCCAGATCTTGAGGTATTCAGTTAGGACATCCTGACCAGTAAGACACTCCCTCTGTGCTAGACGGCAAACTAACATGCCACTTCTGCATGCAATACACAGCTTGGAAAAGTAGCCGAGAGGTGTATGTCTTACTTTAACCGCTTCTAGGACTGGTTCGTAGAGATCTGGAAATCCTGAGAAGCGGAAGAACATACAGTGGACGAGCTCAGCCAGCTGCTCCAGCGAGCTGGTGGCAGAATTGGAGTCCTCCTTCTTCAGAGAGGCCACCAGCCTGGGAATGTGAGGGAGCAGCTGGAAAAAGAAAGTTCACTCAGTCACATACAGCTCCAAATTACTCACAGAGCTGTAACACACACGCGAGTGAATGAAATTCACCCCCAGGCAGAAAGGACAGTGCAGGAGTTCACTTCAGTCCCATGCAGGACTTCATCTTTTATTTGTTGAACTGAACAGCTCCACTGACTTTAGCAAAGCAAATTTGGGGTTACACACCTTAGGGGGGTTTCATGCTGCATAAAAAATGCAGGTTTGCGCTCGTTCTTTGCCATGCTGTGATTTTCATTCTTTGCACAGATTAATCTCTGCTAAAACACACACACACACGCTCTGGAAAGGAGTGTTATATGCTAAGTATCGAGTAAAGTGTTTCACACCTCCAAGGTAAGTAAATCAACCTACAAGAAGTGTATTCCCTATTTTGAGTAATAGGATGTGCTACATTTTATCTCATGCTGCATAAATAAAATTGCAACTGGCATGATCAGATGGGTGGTGACAGGCATATAAATAGCGTATTTATTATTTTGCTTATAGTGTCACCCTTAATCTAGATTTTTTTTTTTTAAATGAACAAACCAACCCAAATGCAAATGATAAATTGCTCTCGGGCCCCCTCTGCTGACCCTGTAGCAGCAGTGAATTAATAATCTACTCCAAAACCTGCAGATGTGCTAAAGTGGAGTAAAAGGTGACCTTGGGCATTCACGCAACATTTTTCATATTTCTATTTTATGTTATTTTACACTGGAGCAAGTCTGGACTAAAATATTAGACTCTCTCCCACAGCCATTTCCTGGTCCTTCCTTCCCTCCTTTCTTCCTCTTTCTCTCTCCCTTTCTTCCTCTCTGGCTCCTTGTTTCTCCTTCAAAATATTGCCGAATTTAACTATTTCCTTTCCAAATGGAAAGTTTTGCTGGGGAAGCAAATGAATTTTAATACCAGTACAAATACCATTTTATAAATCAATATTGTGCTAAGCTGTGAGAGGAACAGTTCTCAGAACTCTTTCGAAGTACCAGGGCAAACGCAAAGAGATAAGAAGCAAGACAGGCTTATGCTCTGTTTTTAAAAAATTGGTGGGAGGAAATCTGTGATTGCTGGGCTAGAGATGAAAACTTCAGGCCAAGAGCAACGGGTGACTTTTGGAGTGTTTCAAATTGTGGACGCCCAACTGAAGACAATCCGTTGGAAGGGTCTATTTTTAGAAACTGGAGAGTTTCTCAAGAAATCACTCTCTTCTAAAGTGTCTCCAGCTGAGGAACAAAAACACATCAGTTGAAAATGTTGGCTCACTTTGATTTTTTCCAGCCTAATCTGCTTATTTCATGATTCTTTAGGCAAAAATCCAAAGGCTTTAATGAAAAAATATAAAATCAAACATTAATAGGAGTGATATTCCATTATTTTTTATCAGTTCAGTCACTGAAAGCATGCCTTTCCCTTCATCCCCGCTTTTTAATTACAGCATTCCAGTGGCAACACTGGAAAAAAGCAGAGCAGTGCCTCAGTGTCAACAGCAAAATAAAATATGAAATACCACTGAGGAAATGAAAAGAGAAGATTCAAATGCTGCTAAAAAATGGGTTGTTTTGTTTTTTTGGCCTTTAGCAGCAGAGAATTCATGAACTGGAAGTGTTCTGATCCAGTCTCTAAATCTCATTCCATGACGTTGAGTAATCCTTGGAAAGATATCCGATCGCCTCAAGAAACGGTAATGGGTGTCCGAAGATGTTGGTAACACTTTGAAGTTGTACGTGGAATGGTCCAGTGAGACCAAGGGAGGGTCAGGCACTTGTTTAGGGAACGGCAAGGGCTTTTGAGGAATATATTCCCTTTCCTTTGCTGAGCCCCCTGAGATGCTCTCTATGCAAAGGCTCGTCTAACATGCCCGAAGTCAGAGTGGCAAAATTTGCAACATCTCAGCTGAAAGGATGGCAACAAATAATTTTGGGGCTGTATCTTCTTAACCTGAGCATGAAACTACATCCTAAGCCAGCCTACGTGAGCATAACCTTGGCCCAGGACACCCTGCACATCCCCTTTCTTTGGCCAGGCAAACGCAATTGTGCAGCTCAGCGGCAAGCCAGATCCAGACCAAGCCACGCAATGCCGACCATCTGGCGGTTTCTGCCAGGTTAGGTTTTTTCCTGGATCCATTTTATGACGCAGTTTCCCCAGCAGCCATACAAATGACCTGGCACAAGGGAGAGTGGTTGAGAGAAACAAGCGGTCCAAGACTTGGCAAGGGCAGGGGAAGAGGGGAGCCACTGCTTTCATTTGCAGGGTTGGCAAACATCAGGTTAAAACGACTGCAAAACCGCTACAGCTGTTTCTGATAAGGCCCTCGGTGTGGCTTAACAGGCCATGCCACACGTTCACACTAAGTGTGTCCTCAGCTGGCCAGCTCTGAAGCTGAGAAAGCATTGTGAAGGTTGTGGACACTTGCGCACAGAAATCACTCTTCCGGCTAGCAAAGCACTGCAGAAAAAAGCGTGGCCTGTGCGCAGTAAATCCGGACAGTGCCCACATTGGGAATCAGGAAGAGCCAAGCCCCTGTCAGCTTTACACTGATTTATCCCTGGAGATGAGCCATCAGGCTCATAAGCCTCAAGAGAAATGGGAGGAATCATCCGAGAATAAAGTAAGGCCTCACTTCTGCTCTCCATCTCACTCTTATCCAGTACGGTTGCTTGGTCCATAGCAAACAACTCCTCTTAGACTCAGGACTTCCCTCCGTATCTCAGCCCCAGTTTTGCAGTGCCCATAAAGCTTTCTGGGCTGCAGAAGATGGTGCGCAGATTCCAGGGTCAACATACCTCAGTTTGACAGACAGGGTTGGGTTTTCACACGATGCAAAGAAGCAGACTACAGAAAGTGATTCCCTAGTATCTCACCTCCTCAGACTCCCTCCCAGCTCCCACATTCACCATGGCACAGCTTCGCACAGGGTGACACACTCATCTGAGTTCTGGATTCAGCCTTACCAAGTGGAACGCTTCATGGGAGTGCTGGAAACTCAGGAGCATGTACTGCAGGACGGACAAAGCCCCCTCTCTCACAATAGGGTACAGTAACTTGGAGAAGACCTAGTGATGGAGGGAAAAAAAAGCAAATGAGAAGGCAGGATGGCATAGCACCATGCACAAGAAGGGCACAGCAGGAAAGAGAGGCACCAGGCAGGCTCAGCTGGCCTGCATTCATCTACCGCATCTCCTGGTCCATCTCTACACCTGGACATTGAAGCAAATAGGAGCGCAGCTTGCAGCCAGGTCTCTAGTTATCGTCTGTCCTGAGTGTGGCCTCAGTGCACCCTACATATGCCATGTAGGGTATCCTCACTGTTTTAGGCCTGCACAATGTCTAGCACAACAAGGTGCTGATCTCTGGACTATTAGTATAGCCATAGCACTGTTGCATCTCGCACTCTCCAATAGAAGAGGCCATGCGAGCACATGTCATATTTTCTAAAATGTGCCTCTTCTATTTTATTGTGATATTTGAATTTTTTTCTCCAACTTTTCAGGCAAATAGACAGAAAGCAGAGGACAATTTGTCCTACCCTACAGAAAATGGCAACAAATATCTACAGCAACACCCAGTAACCCTTCCAGATCACGCTTCTGAACATTTCCAAGAATCACATACAACATTAAGGGCTGCATCCCTTTCCTAAGCATTAACAGTGAAAGGAAAGATAAATAAAAATTGGAGACTCTAGGTTACTCCCCCACTGTTTGATGCACACGAGGCATCACAGAGACAAACGTAGTCTGCGTTTCTACAGTGACTTCCGCTGATATTCAACCAGATATTATCACCATCTTACAAAGGAGAAAAAGGAGGCACACAGGAGCATGGAAAATGTTATTTGAAGTGGCCAGTCTGAGTGCTTAGTCTCCTGGCTTTCAGGTAGTGGCAAGCACTCACCACCAAAACAGCTGATGGCAAAGGGAATGGGGGATTTATCTGTGATAGTAAACGAAATGAGGCCAGGCTACAAGCTTAAAAACTGGTCTGTGACTGTGCAGAGTGCTAATATGCTCATCGGCACGTATTTTGCCCATGCCAGCCAGCACTGATCCAGGCACAACTGAATGAGAGCGTGTGCCTCACATCCCCAAAGGCAGGTTGTACAAGATCTCCCTGTTTTGGAAGGGAAAACATTTCGATGGCCTGAGAGCCCTTGGCTTGTTTTATTTCATAACCTTTAAGATATTAGCACCTCTGCAAACCAAGCCCTAAAAAGCCTCAGCTTGGGCTCTTGACCAAAATCCTTAGGCAACATGCTCAGGCAAAGAACATGCTGCCTCCCAGCACCCAGCTCCCTCTAGCAGCAATAACACACACATAAGGTGGGGCTTTCTGGAGAACATAACCGCTAGCTGCAAAATGGGTATCAGTCCGCCACCCTGTATGCAGCAACGCAGCTTTAGCACAGCATGCAGCGGGCACAGCCTATTAGCAACGATCCCTTCAGATCCCCTCGGGGACAGCATAACATTTGCTATTCATTTCCAGTCACTTCTCATCCTCATTCGGTTGAAAGACAAGGCGGAGGATATCGCAGACGCAAGGAGAACGCTGCTGTTTGTAGCAGCGCTTAAAGGAGGCCACTGACCTTTTCAATTTTCGAAAGAGTAACTTCGATCAAGATGCTGAACTTTTTCACTGCAGCCAAACCCTTCAGCAGAGCAATGATCCACTTGTCTATGTTCTTTCCCAGGGGCCAGGACACCCAGTCAATCATCCTAAAATGAAATCCAAATTCTTTAATAATAACTTAATGCATACATTGTGAAAGTCGAACTATGCTCAGTCAGCAGAATGACCAAGCAAGAAACAGGCCTCCCCATAAAGCATTTCATACGTTATTCAAAGCACAACACCTCCTGAACTAGAATTACCCCCATATCACCTGCATTTTGTGTCGGATGAGAGGACCTGACCCCAAATCCATAGAAGGAGGTTTTCCGTTAACTTCAATCGACTTGAGATCAAGTGCACACCACTGGTATATCGTTGTACTGCTTTGTGGCCTTTCTAGTATATCTCTCAGAGGCGTTCAAGAAACGAGAACTCTGCTTTTAAAGAATGATAAGGTAGGTCTAATGGGGTGGTGATGGGTGTCTGTTCCAGATCCTTAGTGTTAGTTACGGATCAAGGTCTCTGCATTGCTACCGTTAGAGAACATGGTACTGGTATGATCTCTGGATTGTTCCCGGCAAGGAAATACCACTCAGATTTGGATCTTTATCTTCCCTGTATGGGAGACATTTATTCCCAAATATACATTAGAGAAAAAAAATATTGCTAACCCTGATAAGAGCCCGATATTTCTGAATTTTATAGCTAACACTTCTTCTCCTCTATACACGCAATCAACAAGGTGTCACAATATTTAATACCTGTTTTCCTAAGTAGCAAACAACTGCACAGAAGAGTCAGTTATTAAAAGTAATCTGAGTGATGTAGGTCGTTTCTTTTCAAATTAAGTGAGAAGTTAAACAAAAATGGGAGGTAACTAAGGCTTGGGGTCTCCAAGGGTCACACTTTGCTGATCACTTCAGTACCTTTGATTGGAAGATCTCTCAGGTCTCCTTCACATTAGTTTCCCACCACAGTCCAGCTATCTTTCCCAACCAATCTTTTTTGCTTATCAAGCTGTATATTTTGCAAAATATATAAAGGGAACCGAGATGAATAACCAAAACGAGGAGAAGCTCAGGGATAAGCAGAGTCTACAAAGCACTAGGGAAAAAAAAAGGTAGCCAGTAAAGAAAGCTTAAAGGGCAGAATATGTTGGAATGTTGAGAAATGCCAAAAGTCAAGCCGAGTCAGATAATACAGTAAATGTCAAAAAAGCTTCTGCAGACATTTGCATCAGAAGAGAATAAGGACAGACGTGCAATCATTACACACGCAGGATGTGGTGGTGATTAAAGATACGATATGGCTTCTAGATGCGACTTCCAAACTAAACACATCCTCTGCCTCAGTTTTCAGCAAGAGGAAGGAATTGATCAGGGTGATAAAAGAGAAGGCAAATAACAGGTATGAGAATGCAAGCAGAAACAATGACAGCTGATACGAAAACAAAACTTGAAGAGCTCATGCACTCCAGTCAAGGGGACTCGGTAACCTCCAGTCTAGAAAATGCAAACACTGGAAATGTAAAATTTAACTCTAGTGCGTTCTGATGACTCTGTTAACTTGGGCATGGTGCCATATGCCTGAAGAATAGCAAGACAGTTCCTGTAATGAAGACAGGCAATGAGAGAATGACTGGAAAGAAGGGATATCATGTCACAGGGGTCTACCACAGGCAAACTGTGCCAAGCTAAGGTTTGTCAAGATGCCTGATTTTCTAGTCACAGGACATGCAGTAGATCATATCTCACTGGGTTTCAGCAAAGGTTCTGATGCATACTTGTGCATGTGGGAGCAGTTAGTTAAAACAGAAAATTTGGCTTAGCAGAAGAACTTTGAATTAGGTAAGAGGCTGGTTCCAGGAAAGCTGGAAATGAAATACTGTAAGTCTCAGGCTGCACGGACATTATAAGCAATGTTTTTCAGGGTCTAATGGCATTAACAGAAATATCAGGAGTATGGCTGTGAAATTTGTGATGACGTGAAGCTGGGAGGCATCATCAGTGGAGGAGGAGGTTCAGGATATCACAAGGAAGAACTGTGTGACCTTGAGGATTAGAGATGCAGAATCAGGATAAAACACATTCATTCAAAATGCATGCAGCGGTGATGGGGAAGAAACAACAAAAAGGGCTGCCACCTGATGGGAACTTATCTGCATGAAGAAGACTAGTGAGACAATGATGACCATGAGCTCACAGTGTAACTGTAGCCATGAAAAAGGCAAGCAGCACGCTAGGGTGCAGTAGGAAAGGCAGCTTCCTTACCAAAACAACATCCTTTAATGTCATGGTCTAAGGCCATCTAAAACACTGTGTACAAATCTGACTATCCATGTCCAAAACTAGTGAATTGAAGCAGGAGCAGGTGTTGAAAACACCTGTTGAGATGAACACAGAAACGGAGAACTCTCACAAGAGCTTAAAATAGCCTGGCTTGTTTAGCCTAGCCAAAGGAACACAGAGAGGGGATGTGACTGCTCTCTGTGCGTACATTGAAGGAATAAACATCAGGGAGGGAAAAAATCTATTTCAGCTATTTATGCTGGCATAAGATCAAATGAGCTACAAGATGACCAGAGATAAATAGAGGCTGGCAATTAGAAGAGAGATCCTAGCCACTAAAGCCATCAAATCCTGGAGCGGCTATGAAAGAAGAGCAGTGGGAGCAAAAGGCTTTACTGCTTTTAAGATTATAGTTGAACATTTGTGAAAGAGGTCTACAATGTCATTGACGGAAAGAGCAGGAACATGGACTTGGGGATCCAGAGGAGCCTCTTTGCCTTATGTTCTTTCACACGGGCATAAGATATCCTAGATAAGCTATCGTTTACCAACATTTGGAGCCTCTTTGCCTTATGTTCTTTCACATGGGCATAAGATATCCTAGGCCATGATAAGCTATCGTTTACCAACATTTCTGGCTAAATTATAACCTTGCCCCACTTGCTGTCTGTATTGCTACAGTACAGACAGTTGTATTTTATATTCACGTTGCACTTTCCACATTGAAAAATCCACAAATGTTTTGCAAGGCAGTTTTCCAAAGGAGTCATTGATTTTGCATGCTCGGCTTTTAAAAGGTCAGGGCCTGAGTTCCAGAGACAGCCGGTGCCTGCATCTCTGCGTGAAGGCAGACGCTCTCAACTCCAGACCTTGTCTCTTTGAAACAGATATTCACCAAAAAAAAAAAAAAAAAGCGAGCACTTCTGAAGCTATACTTACGGGCATCTGGGACTTATCTGAAATGCCTCTACCCTATGGGCAAATAGAGACACGTTCCTTCATCCTGTGGTGTACACTTATACCAGCAGGTGCCAGGCTTGCTTTTTTTAGCACTGTTTGCTCTTAAATGCTTGATCAAAATTTCCACCTTACCTTCAGTTTACACCCCTGCTAATGCCTCCCAAACCCGAACTTTGAACTCTGGAGGAAGATATTTTGGTCTGCAATCAGTTTGCAGGGATTCTAAGATGAAAGGCCCTGTTTACCCCTGTGCATTTTTCTTTTATTTGCGATTTATTGAGCACACACTCAACAAAAGTCCAATGTTAACGTAGCTTTCTGAGGCATCTGCCTGCTATAAACACTCCACCAAAACTTCCGCGTTTCTCCTAAGTGAACTTAATTACCTTTTGCAGGCTCTGCTTAATGTTTGGCTAACACTGAGTAATCATTTACTCATCCTTCTGCGTAACAAAGAATTTTTAAAGGAATGAAGCAATTGATTTTGCAACTGCTATTTTTAGGCGCTGCTGTTCTTAGTGGATTTATTGACTGGAGCTCACAGCAGCATCTGGGAACAGCATCCCAGAAGGAAGAAAAAAATTAAGGTTAAAAACTGAACTGACAACTTAATCCTTTGTCTTGGCCTGCTCTGGACTCTGGGAAAACCATGACCTTCTCTAACAAGAAAAGGCATCCTTCCTGCAGGCATAAAGTTCCCATCAAGAATTATACGCGTATCTATCATGTAACCTTATGCAAGGCAGACAAACCCTGGAATAGAAAGGGGAGAAAGGAGATTTTTCACAGTGAGAGCAAGACAGACCCCGCTCCCTTGGGTTAAGTACCTGCAAACATCACTCACTTAAACAGCAGACCTCTGAGGAAAGCATAGGATGAAGATATTTTTAAGGAAGCTTGACCGAGGCATCTGGAGCACAGACGAGCTGTAGAACTTGGACACACACGTGCAAGAAAGATCTGGTGATCCCAAAGAGGGCACTGGCCCTGGGAGGACTAAGTCTAGTATGTTAGATAGTATTTCATCCACCACCTCCTCATCATGCCTTGATGTCTCCATTGACTCTGCCTGCACAGAAGGCAGTGATAAACATTGGATGGCACCGAGACCTGGACCAGCAGCACCACATTCATCTGACAAAGGTCAAGGTGGGATCATTCAAGCAGTTGGGCACACCTCCTTCGCCACTGAGAAACTCCCAGCAGCTGGAGATGCACGGGCCAAGATTTTTAGCTGTGACTGGTCATTTAGGATGATGTCCCTCTGAAGGGAGACAGGGGATCCACCTGAAATTCTTTAAAGGAGATTTTGTGAGCAAAAGGCCCTCCACAGTTTCCATGAAAAAATCAAATCTATTTCAAATGTCTTATGTTTGGCATCTCCTAGCACTACTTATTTCTAAGAAAAAAAGAAATCAAACAAATAAAATAACACAAAACATCTTTAATCTAGTTCTGTAGGCCCTAAGGATCAGAAGAAAGGGTCTAGGAATCCCCTTTCCCCCATACTTCACAAGGTACCACCAACCAAACTTGCTTTTGCTGCACAACTGCAGTACCGGGATAAAATTGCTGTGAGGAATTGAGTGCAGCTTTTGGGTAGGTTTTCCTCTGGACTGAAAACAACCATGTGAGAACCTTCCCAGGATGTTCGCTTATGCAGTCTCTCCTACCTACTGATGGCCGTCATCATTTGCACATCAGTGATGCTGTCATCATTGGTTAGGTTTCTTATCACACCATCCATAAGCTCCAGAGGGACAAACTGGACCACGCTGGCCAAGGCATTTGATGGCGCTTCCTGCTCCTCTGTAAGATATGGACAAGAGCCAGCAATAAAGATGTTAATCGCCAGGGAATCGAGGCACATGCGGTCATTTCTCGGCTCTAAAAGCCGAATCATTTCTGGCTCCATTAACGGAATAGAGCATAATCGAGCTGAGCAGTGGAGTCCACACTTAGCTGTGCTAGGAGGACAATTCCCAGAATCGCAGTGTGGCACATAACAAGGTTGGGTCATAGCGGACAGGCTGTTGCATCAAGTCATACACAGCCCAAAGGAAGGCAGGGATCACCCACTGCCTGGGTCCCCTGCCCAAATTCCCTCCATGTGCTCACTTTATACTGACTACTGTAAATAATCACAGTAGGATGAGGATGCACATTTGGCTGCCCAGATCACGTTCCAAAGGATGAGGTTCTCAAAAAGAGGGCACTGAAATGCCCATCTCCTCATGGGGTTAGGAAGAGCTGAAACAGTAACTCACCTGCCTACAGAGAGTCCAGCCTTTTATGGCACTGGTACCTCTAAAAATCTTCTGAGACGCTCTATAATAATCTGAAGGCCCTAGAAGTTGGATAAACATCCTCTATCCTGTCCTAAGATATAACCACCCTTCAGAGAGATACTAGCCGTGGAATTTAGGGCTTTCTACCCCTAGATCCAGTGAGAAATAACTCCTTAGCTTTGCCCTTAGCCTCTAACATGGAGCAGGCTGAGAGGACCAGTGAAGTTAGCCAGCAGAGAGTGACACTTCCAAATGCTTTCAAGTCCCACTCTACCCCTACTGCAGATAAGAGGATGCTTTGCATTAAGCCCAGCTGATGCTGAAAAGTGCTGAGGACACAAACGTCCGTGTTGCACATATTTCAGCACAGTTAATAACTCCTGCTTATAGACTCTCCACGGTTTCATGGGGATATTGTCTTCTTAGCCTAAAAACCTGGACACTTTTGGGACCTTTGCTTATTATATTTCAGCAGTGGCTGCATTTCTATAACAGGTTAGAGAACTCTAGTTTATTATAGCTTATGGAATTATTGCAGCTCTGACGTGTCAGGACCATGTAAAATGTCAACCTGTCTTGTTCCTCAAAGCCAGCATTTACATTTGCGCCTGTTAATTATTTTTTACCTGTCGATGAAATGATAGTGAATAGCTCCTTCAAAGAGGGCAGGATGGCTGAAGTCTGAGTCCTCCAGATCCTCTGCAGCAGACCGCTCACTTTGTTCACCTGCTCCAAAAACTCCATAATATCCTCTTCTCCTTCGGAGACGCACTGGAATTGCCCAATGCACCGTATCAGCTGCTGACAAAACAAGATCTGGTGCTTGCCCGCGGGAATGCACTGAGGATGCTGGGTTAAGAGTTTACTGATCTTAGCACACTGCTTGGGGCTGGGCCTCTCACAGACTTTCCGGAGCACTTCAATCCTTAGTAAGTTGAAAATGCTATTTGCTGATGGGCTTTCCAAGACAAACTGCAGTCCTAACTGGATATAATCTAGTACATAATGGCTTCTCTTTCCCAGAGGCCCATAGCCTTCCTGGAGGAGACTCAATAGGAAGCGGACATTGAAGAACTCCTCAAACTCCTCTGGGTGGTAGTGGCCGTAGACTTCCAAAACCTCTTTCCCGATCTCTCTTTTATACTTGGTGTCCCCAGTAAGATAAAGCTTGGTTGACAGCTCTAGCATGGACCAGCATTGTTCACTGTCCATGGGCTGCTTTGCTGCCTCAATGACGCGCCTCACAAGCCCTTGCTTCACATTGTTGGGGTATGAAGACATCACCACAGCTTCCAGTATCTTATCCATCTTTGCTCTCAGCTGCTGAAAGAGAGAAAGAGTGCCAGGTTAGTTCAAGCAGGCTCTGATGTACTTTACAGCCCAGAAATGGTGACTGCCTGAGCTTTCCACTTCACAGCAACTGGACCACAGAGTTAACGGGGAGAGGAGAATAGGGAAAGGAGGATGCTGCTGGGAGAGCAAGAAGTCTGACCCTGCAACAGAGAAAAAGTATGAGCTCAAACCGAGGCCCATGACTCTCCCAGACTGTGTTCCCTTGCATGGTTTAGGAAACTAGGACTCTCCGGGCAATGAATGGGCATGGCTGGACAGCTAGCCCAGGCCACAGTCGGGTCAAAGACAGCATGGATGAAGCTGTCTTGTTTTGGGAAAGGGAGGAGACGAAAATTTGCCCTGATGGATGTGAACCACACAGGGCTACTTGCTTCCCCCATATGGTATAAAGCTAGCTCTTCATAACATACTGTCATTCTCCAGAGGGAAGGATGTTTGGATGTAAGGAAATGGAATGACCGGAGGTCCAATGAATTTCTAAGCAATTCCTGGGCAATGCCTTTTGGCTCATGAAAAAGCCCAGTACCACCAGAGCTGTGTGTTCAGAACTGTGGTGGAGGCCAGGCTGAACTTGGTATCAGGATGCTTCAGAAGTACCCTGAAGTCATCTCCATCTCTGCCAGATCGAGCGCCTGGAGAGCTCTGCAGAACAAGCCTCCAGAACCACCAAAGCCATTTCCTCCAGTTAGGACTGCCAGGCTCTAGACCCTAGGGTCAAAAGTTTCTAATGTGCTTAGAACTCTCTGCTTGTTTGTTCTGTTTAAAAATTAGGAAAAACTTTTTTATCATGAGAGTGGTCAAACACTGGAACAGGGGCCCAGGGTGGGAAAGGGGGGATCTCCATCCTTGGAGATATTAAAAACTGGACAGCACAAGACCCGGGGCAGCTCATTCTAATTGGACCTGATTCAAGCAGGAGGCCGGACTAGATGACTTCTGGAGGTCCCTTCCAATCTACATGACTCTGTGATTTCATGAATTTTAAATTAAGAGATCATAATTTTAAAGCATGGCATAGGCTGATAGAGACAACCTTCTCTGATCCAGAAATGCCCTTTACTACATACCTAGCATCTCCCACTGCTTACAGTCAGAGGCATTTCTCTGTTCTTGCTTAGAAACCTTCTACAATAGATCAACACTGCCGCTTCTCCACAGAGTCCACCAACTCTTTTCCTAGCCTTGGCCTGTCTTAGTAGAGGATTCAGCAGGTGCCTCCGTGGTATGGTTCTGATGTGTCTCTTCCCCAAACTAACCAAAATCATGCCCTCACATCTCTATTAATGGAAAGCACTGAAAAGAAGGAGAGGGCTCGTGTTGGGACAGGGGCTAGAAAGTGGAGCCATGTTGAAATGACATGTGAAAACTGACTTTGAGTCTACCCGCATTTTGAATGGACTCGGGGCATATGCCAGTAAGTGCCAGATGACTGAAGTAGGAGACCGCAATGTTCATGGAGTTTGATATGAACACAGACATGACAGAAGAAGCTGCAGAACATTCGAAGGAAAGAAGAGACCCCTACCATGACACGTTGAGGAGATGGAAGGAGCAATGCTGCTACCAGTTGCAAGGATGAAAAGGTGGAAAGCCAGGAAGTCCATTCTGGTCCTGACAGGGCTGACAAGATGATGAGCCATCCTCTGTGACAGCTGAGCACAATAAAAGAATGAGCACAGAAAGAGAAGCCAAAGAATCAGAGCTGGAGAGCCTCCTGGGACCAGCATAAAAATGATAAATCCTTGCGCCCTTTTCATTGAGGTATTCTGATGGATACAGACAACGTTGTCCTCTGTGATGCTTGACTGAGATTAAAGCCCCAAAACTGAAATGAATACACAAAAATGCAGAACTTCTTCAGATTAGTCACGTATTTGGGTATTTTTGTCTTGCAAGCAGTCAGCCAAATCCTTACACTTGATCCTAAGAAGGGATGAGTTCCCTCAGTTCCAGGGCTTCAGCAGCTCAGGATGGTGCTCCACATTTCATAAAATCCAATCTCCACAAGAGACAGCCTCCCATAGACCCACAGAGAGGGTCAACAGCGAATTATGGGACACACAGGGACAGACAGTGGAGTCAAGGTCTTCCACCGGTGTCAACTGGCTTCATTGTTCCCCAAAGGCAAAGATATTTCCAACGATTATCTTCATATTCAGGGAACAAGAGAAAAGCCCCAGGAAGCAGCCATGGGATTGCAGCCTCTGTCTGGGCAATAGCACAGAGTGCAGGGGAAGCATCTATTTAAAAGGATGCAACGCCTAAAAGGGCAGAGATGCAGTGAAAGGACAAGATTTCTGCTGCTTTCCCCTGCACACGCTGCATCCCAGGTGTGCAAAGGGACAAGTGCTTCCCAGGGTTCTCGTCCATTCTGCCCCTAACATAGTTTGGTAGGTCATGTCCCAGTTTGGTGAGGACTGGCTTCCAGCAGAGGGAAGCCACACACTCCCTTGGTACCATACTATGGAGCTATGGGTGTCCATGATAGACACCTATTCCCTTTCTTCAGCTCTCCTTGCTAAGGGCCTGGCAAGGCGGGTGGAAGTCGGCAGATTTGTGGTTGCTTCTGAGGCTGACCAGGAAGTTTCCACTGAGGGTAAAGTGTTTTGCTAGCTCCACATCCACTCTCAGGGCAGATATGTGGACCCCGGCTCTAACCAACACAAGGCCAAGGAGTTCTCCTATGAACTTTGCGGTTTCCTGTTCCCCAGAGGATCAGAGAGCATCATGTCAGGCCATGCACTGGGGAAAAATGTCAGGGTGACCGTTGGGTCACAGCCCCAGGGCTAAGCCTTCTTGGGCTGAGTCGCAAGGCCCTCTTAGCTGTCACACAGTCACGTGGCTAGTTCACAGCTCTGGAGCTTACTGCACAAAAGCCAACTGCTCAGCAGATAGAAGGGTTCACACGCAAGTTGTGTCTGGTACAAGGTTAGAGATCCTGGAAGAGGGAAGGAAAAACACTGTACCACACCAGAAATGGGTGAACACACAACCTCCCTCATAAGAGCTGAGAGTCTTGTGCCTATGATGTGAGGCTGCACCCGCTTGCCCCTGTGTGCAGCAAGGGGTGATGGGGGTGTAAGTAATTTGGATAAAAAGAGAGAGGCTCAGGCTGATGGAGGCATAGGGGCTATTTGACACATCACTCCTTCCAGCTAGGAGAGCCACTTGAGAGTTTAAAAGCCTTGAAGAAAAAAAAATATCACACTTAAGATAATTGGGAAGTGATGGAGGCAGAATTCCCGCTGGAATGTGAAATAAAAGATGGATAAGAAAGAAAGATGGACAAGAAAGAAAAAAAAACCTTTAAAAGAAGAGCCAGTAGTCTGATGTTTGCAGATCCAGGCTACCCAAGTACGCAGTAAATGTAACAGAGATACCAGAGCAAGCAGGATAAGTCAGAGCAAATCATGTAAACAGGGAATCATTTGAGTGAAAAGTCTGGGATTCGAACAACCACAGTCAGTTGCAAAAAATCTGCCTCGCTTGTGGTCCACTTCTCCTGAAGCCAGTGAAGTCCTATGTGAACACCCAACTGGGGCTAAGGCTGCACACTGATATCTGGAGAGGAAGGACGTCTTGCTCCTCCACGAGTAATAAACTCATTTAGAAATGTATCTCTTTCCCACTACTATGGAAAGAAATGTTTGGATATCTAAAAATATTCAGCTCAGCTTCACTTTCAGTTCTTCAGCTCCTTCCTTCGCTGGTTCCCCAGGCTCCCAGTCTCAGATGTGGCAGGGGGTATGCATTTGACATTTACACCATGCTGCTGCCATCCCAGCTTGACTGGAGGGAGCGATGCAGTCTTGGCTGCCCCCCAGGGACCTGCAGCCTTTGTATGCTATACCATCAGACCGAAAGGGAAGAGACAGACTGCAGAGTCAGGCAAAGCTTGCCATTCGTCACTGCCCGAATTTGCCAGCAGTACAGGGTTACAGGAGAGGCTGCTAGAAAGAAAAAAAAAAAAAGAGGATTTCCCTGGAACAGCTCAGAACAACATTTAGGTCACATTTATTGCCACGGGCTGGGTGGACAACTGCACAAGAAACCCCATTATAAAGAGTGATAAAATCAGCCAGCCAGGATTTCTTAAAACTTATTGCAGAGAATGAACGTATAAAGGCTCACCACAACAGGTCCTCCTCGTGCCAGGTGTTGCACAAATACATAGCAGGAGACTATCACTTGCTGTCTATAGTCTAAAACAATCCATGGGAGAGGGAAAAGGAAGACATGTATCATCTTGACTACCCAAATGAGGAACCAAGGCAGGACAGATTCATCCACGCTCAAGTGGAATTTTCTCAAGGAAAAAAGACACATGACATATACCCCAAGTACCCTGGGAGAGAGCTCAGCGGGAACAGAGTTAGGTGATGTTACATGACATTTCCATCTCTAAGCTGCTCACCCCAAGGAAAAATACTACAGAGTAACAGATGCGACCGTTCCCAATCTTGCTGATGAAGGCATCTATGATCATGGTTACCTCTCTGCACTGCCCTGTGGTTTTCACAGATGACATCCAGAAGAGACCTCAGAGGATGCCATCGAGAGACCAGCCCATCCCTGGGGCCTGTATCAGAGTCAGAGGGCGTCTTCTCTAAAGGTAGAGAGCTGCCTGCTATTGGGAAAAAACCCAGGCCAAATATAAACATAAAGTTCTGGCTCCCAGCTTCTTGGCTAACAAGTCCTTCCACTCAATCAAACATCACCTCTCCCCACCATTGCCTCCCCCACGGTCTCATCTGATGAAGAAAGCACGGTATACACATGGCCACAGCCCTCTTGAGCGATGACAGCAGCCTACAGTGCAATGGTTGTCCAGGCACCATCTTGGCCTTTCTGTCCCTTATCTGTTGACTCATATGGTCCTCTGCTAGTGTGCTGTATTTATTTTTCCCCTACAAGCACCATTCCTGCCTTCCCTGCATGGAAACCAAGATATGGCAGAGCAAATGCATTTTATCATTATTTCCTTTGGATTTAAGATACGGCCAGGACTGTCAAGGAAACAGCCTGCATTAGATTGGTAACAAATGAGGACAAGGTAAGAGGAAAGCATAAAAGCAGTTAACAGGTAATGTCTTTTCACTTCAAACGGAAGGTACCACAGTGACAGAGACAGTAAAGGTTAAACCTGGTTTAGAGAGCAGAATAGACGTGCAGGACTAGAAACCGGAAGGAACAGTTGTCCCAGCTGTAACTCACTGGTTACTTGGGTCATACTGAGCAAGACTGGCACTGCAGTTGAGCTTGTACCCTGCGTTTCTCCTCTCTCCAGCTTCACATCCTGACTCCCTGCTGCCTTGGGCATCTGGTAGACCAACAAGGGACAAGAAGGAGGCAGGAGGAGCCTGCCTATGTCTAGCCTTTACTCACTTACTTCCCTGGAGTGCTCCATGCTGAGCCTGGCACAGCAATGTGGAAACACTACACAGGCAAGCTGGTCAAAAAACAACTGTAAACCTTTTAGACCTAATCCCATAAATCACTGTGGTCCACAGACCGCTGGTACACACAGTGTTAGGTAGCCTTGCCACCCTTTTAGGGGAGTGATGGTTGCCCAGTGCTGTCCACACTGCAACTGATACTTTTATCTGCTTTTAACTTTGCCAGACTTCACCTACATTTTCCAGGTAAAGAGTCTGCTTCAGGCTGAACGTGGAGAAAGAGCTGCAGCTCCTAAAATGGCTTAGTTACTCGTCAGGTTGATCCCAGAAGGGAACGGGATGGGTCACTCCAGCCCTGTTGTTTGGAGTGCAGCGAGGTCTGGTCTGAGATAACGCAGAGAAGGGCAAGGCTGAAACAAGGCTCCCTTGATAGTTGATAGAGGCAGACAAGTCCCAGTGGAGAGTATCTAGTGACTGCAGAGGAATACCAGCTTTCTCATGAGCACATTGACATGAGGACCTTAAAGATAAGTAAGGAGAACCAGATGAGTTGACCTTGTAGTGGAGATTGTAGTATCTCCTCACTGAAGGAGGACTTTGTAGCACAAGGCTGGACTTTTAAGTAACACCCTCCCCACCAACGCTTCTCTGACTACCCCGGTGCTAGCAGGAGGGGATAAACAAGCCCAGGGTACACCATGCCGCTGCCTAAGCAAGGGCCAGACAAAGCCAGGATGGACGATGCCAGCTCTCAGACAGGACATAGAAAGCAGAGATGGAGCGGGAATGGCTGGAAGAGACAAACGGCAGAGAGGAAGCACCGACCAAGAGACTGTGGAATCCAGGGAGGAAAAAGGCAGTGATGCCTGTTGATCCACTCCAGACAAAATAGTTTGAAAAAGTAGCTTTTCTGGCCAGGAGCCCGCCTGGCTGATTTCTCAGTTCTTCCCTTTGTCAGCTGAGACAATACCACTTCAGTTCTCAAGGGCTTAACTGAACGGGGCTTTGCAGAAGCCAAGGAAAGTCTAAAAAGGACGCATGTGTGATGCATGTATAATACACATTCCAATCTTAAAAAAAAAGAAAGAGCACTTAGGTTGCAGAAAGTTAGGAGGTAAGATGGTTAATTCAATCCAAACACAGCTCTAGATGCTTTTAGAGAGGTATTATTTAAATGACTGCATATTAGCTTTTTTTCCAGGACCTGCCTGGAGAATGAATCAGGGTTTGCAGTGAAGCAGACTGTTGTCTGGAAGATTGCTGTCTCATTTGTCATAAATAACCCAGGGAACTGCAGGAGAGAGGACAGTTTCAGTCCTGGGCAGCTGAACGTTGCCCTGGAGAACTGGATTCTGCTCCTGCCTCTGCCACAAAGCTCCTGCGAGCTTCAGGCCAAGTTACAGAAATAAAAACCTTTTCACGGGTGGCTGTTTGCTGTTGGCCCTTCTTTTTCCAGGTGCCCCAGCTGGAGACCCGGAGGCCCAGTTTACAGAAAAGCTAACCATTCAAGGTTTTTAGGACAAAACAGCTCCTCGTTCTCAGGGTGTTAAACTCTGGATGTCCAACTTGTGCTGCCTGCGGCTTTAGTCTGAACTCCCATTCACGGAATACAAATTTGGATAAAATGAATGGGTCTCCACTGCTATCAGTACAAGAGGTCTAGGGATCCCTGATCATCCAAAGGAACTGCATAACTGCTGTTTCACCTCCCGACTGCTTGAACTACTCCACCTACCTCTCTCCAAGACAGCCTCCCACAGGAATGGGCTAACCCTGGGCAACGTAAATCCAAGCTAGTCAGTGTCACTTCGACTTGGGGTCCCTTGTTGCCTTCTCTTTAGCAGAATAGCACAGAGGGTCTCACACTAAGTACTCAGAGAATCAGAAGCAGTGCTCTTGAAGTGGGACAATCTTACCAGTTCTGCACTTCATCTTCCTT